CAGGTCGCACTGAACACGATGCGCCAGACTCAAGAAGCCCTGGCTCGTATCCTGTCAGAGCTCGCCCAGAAGCGTCAAGCTGATGAGGTGATTATGGCTGTTGGCACTGAGCCTGCCATTCAGGCAGAGCGACTTCGCGTCGCGAAGGAGGCTGAAGAGCGATTCAAGGCACAGCCGTTTCAAACCGAGGCTGATTTCGCCGAACGTCTCAGGGTCCAACGAATACAGGGTGAAGCAGAGCGTGTGCGCCGGGTGGATGACGTCCAGAAAAACATGAACATGCAAATAGCGACCCTCCAGCAGCAAATGCGTGAGATGGAAGCTAAACGTGAACGAGAACGGAAAGCGGCGAGACGTACCCAGAAATTTCAAGCCAGTGAGTTGCGCGACCTTCGCGCAACCTCCGCCCAGGCTCAACACGCGACAGTGGCCCCTATCCCAGATTCGGTTTCTCAGATCAAAACGGAATCATGAATTGCGAACTTCCAGCAAGACGCAAGAAGCCGCGATGCCGACAATGTTGTCACCAAGAAGGAGAAGTCTAGCGACAGGGAGGCCAACGCCGCCAGGGCAGACGCTCTCTTGGCTGCACAGCTCCAGGCTACTCTCCAGAGTGTAAATGTGGCGAAGCAGAGGACGAGAAGAGTGGCTACCGTACCTACAGCGACGATGGCCGAAGTAGGGACCAAGGCAACGAAGTCTCCCGCGCCTAGGTTATCGGATGACACCAAGGTGAAAGCCAGAAAGCTACACTCAAGGCGCGTGCGTCGAGGAAGGCTCGCCGTGGCGGATACCCATCCGACTCAGACCAGAGCTCAAGAGATGACGACCGCGACTCTAGCTCTGACGACTCGGATAGCTCCTTCTGTGAGCCGCTCAGTGATATGGTTGTTCCCAAGATCACCCTGGCCGGCACCACCACGATGAATATCCGACCATTCGTGACTGCGAGCTCTCTGAACGATTTCGACGAGAAAGCTTCTGTCTCGGAGTCTACTCGCTGGTGGGAACGTTTTTAGACGTTGGTCTTCCAGGGCGGATGGAGCGACAAGATGAAAGTCTATGAGCTTCTCCTGAAGTTGTCTTCTTCGGCAAGGAACTGGTGTTCACAATTATCACCGCATGTGCGTCGCGACCGGGAAGGGTTCTCTAAAAGGTTTAAGACGAAGTATGGCAAGTCCAAGATGTCCGCCTCAGAGAAATACTACACCATGAAGTAACGCAAGGTGGAGCCCCATCTGGATTTCTTGTACCGCCTAAATGTCGCCGCCGACCGCGCAGTCATCCGTTATAAGAAGTCCGAACGACGCCGAATACAGCACGTCAAGCTGTTTACGCATCGACTGGTGGATTCACAACTCAAGAACATTCTGAAGGGTCCACGATTCAAGAGTATCGATGACCTGGAATACGTGTTGAAACAGCAGGAAGACGACTGGGATGATGAAAATCAGGACACTTCGTCCACCAAGCACAGGATTTCTGGGCGGACAACCTTCGTCAGGGGCGACATAAAACCAAGTATCCAGGACGAGCGTACGGTGCCCAGAGCGGCGACCAGTTCGAATCTGATGAACGACATGTGATGTTCGAAGACGAAGTTGTTGAGAATCCCACAACCCAGGAAGCCACCGAATCTCGAGAAGTGTCCATAGAAAACAAAGTTACCAGTATGACCATGGAAGAACTGACGCAACATCTGCTCAAGGTCATGGATAATTCAGGTTGGAGTAAGTAAAGGAATATGGAACACCACGGTTAAGGTCCGTCAGAACAACGGCCACCCTGGGTCGCCGTCACCAAGGTATGGTAATCCTGATCGGGACATGCGTTGTGACAACTGTAATGGCATCGGATATCGAGCCGATAACTGTTGGACAGACCTAATCTGCGAGAACTAGGACAGCCGACTCAACTGTGCAAGGCTCTGCCGTACAAGTAGTGTGGCAAGTTGCATGATGGCCGCTGTGAAGATTGGGAGATGCTGGAGTTTATTGCACGATTGGCCCGCCAGGGCATCGTGAAGGGCCTACCCACTCCAATGCTGGATCGACTCCTGACTGGCAAGGCTGATCCTGGTGACGGTTCGTTAAACCACTAAGCCCGCTGGATGAGGATCCAGTACGCGACGGGCATAGTAAGACCCCAGGATTGGGCGCCTTAGTACATGTCGGCCCTGAGTTCAGGATTAAGAACCAAGATAACCAACAATGCATGACTTCTATGTTTAAGATCCATGAGTTCAGGATTAGGCCCTTCTGGATGGCTTCATTCAGATGGTACTTATCCAGAGTTCCCTGTGGAATTCCGGCTTCGGGATGGGGAACGTTATTGGTGGTGGACTACACACCAGCCAGAGAAGGAAAAGCGTATGTTTGCTACTGTTCATGGCGTCGTAAACGATGTGAGGACTCGAATACTCCTGGATACAGGAGTATCGTTGAGCATGGTCGGCTTGGATTTAGCGCGTAAACTCAAGCTCAAGCTCCATCGAGAAAATCAAGTCAAGGTATCCGGATTAGGAGGTATTCTTACTCAGATCATGGCGAGTGCAGAAGTCAAGCTCATTCTGGGATCCAGAGTGGTCTATATAATGGAGTTGTGGGTGGTCAGCATTGGCGAAGATGTGTTTCTAGGTATGGATTTCATGTTCCGCGCAGGAGTACGAGTTATTGTTCGAGAAGGGTTAGTGCAACTCCCGGATGAAGACTCCATCTTGATGTACGATGATGCTGTCAAGGTACCTCAGGGCGTGGACTTGCCAGTCACTTCTCCCAAATACTTCTATCTCATGCCCGGAGAACACGCTGTCGTGCGCACCCAGTATGGACATAGGAATCCAGAACGAAAAGTCGTCTGGGCTGGACGAGGTGACAGGTGGGCAACCAAGATTGTCTTTCAGGCTAGATCCTGGCCAGTAGCGATCAAGGTTGGGAATGTAGTGTCTGGACCGATATGAAGACACCGCTCGCCAGGATTGTATAATATGGGTCGTTTCTGCAGGCCGGGCGTTTTGGCTGCCCTGGAACGCGAGGCTATCATGAATGGCAGACCCTGATCCTGGAACACGCCCAGTCAGAACAAGACAGACTCAGGGCTGAAAGGAGAGAACAGACACTGCGAGAACGATAACCCCCGTGTGTGCCGAAAATGGAATACCAATGGCCAACCAAGATTATGCTGAGACCCCAACCAGGATCTGCTGAAGTCAGAATGGCTCAATTGCAGGTCCCCCGTGCTTCAAGGTGTTGAATCGCGGAGATTTGATGGATGCGGGTGCACAGACGGAAGAGGACCCCGGTGAAAACCAGGATGGATGTCGCCACACAAGTCAGCGAAAGTCAACTAGACAGCTATGAATGTGATCCTGGTGAGAGGAATACCCTGGATGATGACCGAGGCGATACCTTTGTGGATACGCTTCCAGAATGGACTATTGAATTCGAGCAGTCCCAGGGCGGCGAGACGTTCGCGGGGGCACACCCTGAACAGGACGCTTCAGGATTCCTACCAGAACCAGCGCCTTGCACACCACTCGAGAAGTTGGAGATGGAATACGAACGCTGTACGAGGGTGTATGAGGGTTAGCGAGGAAGACCTGGACTTGGAGCCAGGAGTGTACATACATGAAGGGAGCGAGATTCTTGCACAATTGCGGGACCAGTTGGTCATGCTGCCAGAATGGAGCGAATTGAACCCAGAATGTGACATCGATCAGGCCGATGTGGGAGGTAAGACCTCTCCTGAAGATGAATCGAGGATACGTGCAATCCTGAAGCGTCATAGAAAGATTTTTCTGGGTGATGGGAATGCCGCACCTGCTCCCGCCAGAGGAGTGGTATGCGACCCCGATTTGGGAAATGCCAAACCCATCGCGTTGCGTTCAAGGTCAATTGGTCCGCACGTAGCAGTCAAACTGTACGAACGGCTCAAGAAATAGCTCAACAATTTGATTGAACATTCAGATTCGCAATGGGCCTCTCCAATAGTGATCGTACTCAAGATGAATGGGGTATACATCATGATATGTATCGACTATCGACTTGTGAATAACTTCATCCAGATGTCTAGTTACCCGTTACCTCTCCTCGACGGCTTGTTAGTCGGTCTCGAGAAGACGCTCTGGTTCATGAGCCTGGATATGGCCAGCGGGTTTGGGCAATCAAGATGACCGAAAGGTCCAAGTTGATTTCGGCTGTCGTATCTCTGTTTGGACACTTCCAGTGGATTCGAATGTCATTTGGTCTGAAAAATGCACCCCTGATCTACCAGCAAATGATTAACAATTGCCTGTGAGGGTCGTGAGCCTGCCTCCAGAATAGGAGGCCGAAGTAGACCAGAAAGTTCTGGATTATCTACATTTGGACCCCTCAGAGTGTGTTGGTTGTGAAAACGATCATACTCTGTGACTATTGCTGACTCTGACATACCAAATGACTGTGTTCAAGAGGAACATCCCTGCCCCGAATCAGATGTCTCCTGTCCTGGGACGCAGCTCCGGACGATATCGCACATCGTGCGCCGACTTAGAGTGCATTATGTACTGATTTGGACGCCTTGTTGAATCGACTGCATTACTGGAACGTCTCAGTAAGTTCACCGAAGAGTGAGTTTGGAAAATTGTGCATTCCATATCTGTCACATGAGATTAGCGCTGAAGGAATTAGGGCGACGCCGAAGATCGCCAAGGGCGTTCAGGATTTCCCGTTCCAGACAACGATGAAGGGGGTGCTATCCTTCTTGGGTAGCCTGAACTACTATTACAAATTCATCGAGGACTACTCCGAGATCGCGGCCTCCATGTATGAACTCTCGGACGACCAAGTACGTTCAGAACGAGATTTGTCAAGGGCAAAACAAGTGTTCGAAATCCTGAAGCACAAGATCGTGCCGACCCCGGTATTGCGGCACCCTGGCATGACCAAGCCGTTCGTCATCATACCCCATGCGAACCAGTGGGCTGTTTATGCAGCCCTGTGTCAAGAACATGACGGCATGATCCAGCCAGTACGTTTCACGAGGCGCGTTCAACACGATGCAGAATTGAGATATCACATCGCTGAGAAAGAAGTCATCGCCGTGCTGAAGTGCTGCATGTTTTCAAAACGCTCATCCAGGGATGCCCCTTCATCGTGTATACCAGACACTCAGTGCTGAAATGGATCATGAAGTCCACGACGGATGGGAGGTGTGTGCCCTGGGGCATGTTACTTTCGCAATGGAACCTGGACATCAGGAAAATACAACGAGACGAGGACGGGTTGGCCACCGTCCTGGGTGCCGATATTACCCCTCGAGAGCATTTGGATGATATCGCTGAGGAGCTCATTCCTGTCAAGGGGCGCGCGAAACCGCCCCCGGTGATTAGTGTCGAAATGTTGGAAGACACTTTTGAAGGCATCGTGATGAGTTTTAATGGTGCCGCCAAAACGTCCACTCGGCAGGGTAGTTGTGGATGCATATTGTGGGAACTCCGTGGATCGAAAACTCTGGATGCACAAGGTTTTATCTTGGAAGACGTCACGGTGAATAATGCCGAATACTGTGGGCTCTTCTTGAATGATCTAACCATGGCGCAGGTCAGGGGTGTTCGATACCTCATCGTCGTCGGCGATTCACGAATCAGCATTCAGCAAGTGCAGGGACTGATCAATTGTAATCAGCCCAACTTGCAGAGACAGTTAGCCAGTTGTGAAGCGCTGAAAACAAACTTCAGTTCGGTGAAATTAGTACATGTCAAGCGAGATTTCAACCAGGCGGTAGACTATCTGACCTCCAAAACGCTGTTGCTCGGAAGCCCCTGGAGTGTCCAGGAAGACGGAGACCACCAACACCTGGAACGAGTATCGAAGATTCAAGAGAAGTTGATGAAGTCATCAGCGACTTGCCCAATCGCAAGTCATACAGGGCTGGTGGCCATCCAGGATGAAGGAAATCGCTCAGATTTTCCTGGATGTCCCTCCGCCCTGGATGCCATGACGGCTCCGTTGCCATACGCAGCCAAGCTCTTGGTTGCCATGACACGAGCTAGTGTCCGAGGCAGGCCGTTATCATCGGATCTACTCGACCCTTTAGAATATCAACGCGAGAGACGAAGGCGGATCAAGGTGCACCAGGAACAAGATGAGTATCTGTGTGACCTAAGAGATTTCCTGAATGGAGACATTGATCGTTTCGAACCTCGCCAGTTGCGAACGATCACCAAGGTCGCAGATTTATTTGCCCGCGGTGGGCTGCATCGGCTAGCTCAGTCCACACGCGGCAGATCTCGAGACACCCAGGATGAATTGCGCCTACTGCTCTCAGGGAAGACATCCTGCACTACGCTCATGAGGAATTTCAGGGTGGACACCAGGGCATCAAGCGGACTCAGGAAAAGCTGCACTCTGAATTCTACTGGCCCGGGACGTACGCAGATGTGCAACGTCATATCAAGAAGTGTGTTGACTGTGCCAGCGGTAAGGGACACGCGTCCAACCCTGGTCCATCTCCCGGAAATATTGAACCAAGGTGACCATTTGGAGTAGTTTCGATGAATTTCATTACGCACATGCCGAAGTCAGAGCGAGGAAATACTGTTCTCCTCTTGTTCCAAGATATGCTCTCAGGATTCGTGATGTGCAAACCAATGCCAACCACAACAGCTCAGGACGTATGAGGAACGGGTGTTCAGGGTGTTCAGCGCCTCAGATATCATTCGCCACGATCAAGACCCGAGGTTCATGAGTGAGGTTTTCACTCTATTCAGGGAACTTCTGGGTAGTCGTCAAAGATCCGATCTGAGCTACGGATCTCAGACCAATGGGCAACAAGTGCGTCAACCCAGACTGTCATTCGGAGTGTGAGGGCGTATGTCGCTGGCAGACCTGTCAGATTGGGATTATCATGCCGAGCGACTGATGTTCGCCCTGAACACATCTTTTGATGCGACTCGTCTGGATACTCCATTCTATCTGGTCCATGGTTGGGACGCTCATAGCATTGTATCCTCCATGTTGGGAACTAAGCCGTCCAGTCTTCCAGAACGGACTGCGTATGAGTGAAAGCGATTTATTTCAGGGCGATTACAGCGCTCCACGCGCCGGTGCGAAGGACCTCCAGAAAAAAGCAAAGCGTATGAAACCGGAAGCTCAGACCTAGAAGTGGAGAGAGCTCGCAGAGCGTTTAAAGTCTGGATTCAAAAGGGGCGACGCGGTTTGGGTGTATATACCCTAGGTACAACCAAGATTGAGGCGCAAGCTGGCATGGCCCATTCGGGACCGCCGAGGTCCACAATAATTTCAGAGTAAAGTTGAAAATCTACCGAACCGGATAGCGCGTGAACCCATGGGTGCATGTGAGTCGCCTGAAAGCTCAGGCGTTGTTCCCGAGGAGACCCGTCGAGGAAGTCACTCTGGATGACAATGACGACCTGGATGCCGAATTGTTACCCGAAGCCAGTTGTGAAGCAGACAACCATAATAACCAGAATGATGAGTATGAAGTAGAACGAATCCTGGATCTCCGATGCATCAAACGTACCCCCACATCCAGAAGGACTCGCGAGTATCTTGAAGGGGTATGTCAACCTTGAGTGGATACCACTGTCGCAACTCAACTGTGGATCCTTGTTGTATGAGTTCAACTAGGGCGCCAGAGACAGAGCGCGTTTCAGGGCGATGCCGGCGGGTGGTGATGTCCATCCTCAGATTTAGTTGGTCTCGTCCGCCGATCCTGGATGGCCAACTAACCCTGACTCAGACCGATGATTTTTTGTGAAAATATTTTGATTTGTGCATATTTTCGATTGTGGATTACTTTCGTGGATTACTTGTATGTCTGGTTGGCTCCACCCCATTCTGAATTCTGGATGGTTAAAATACCCTTTGTGCACTTTGGACTAAATTGGACAAAGACAATCAGAGTGAAATGAATATGACATATATTACGATGTATTGGCTTAGACCCACGACAGCTTAAGTTACTGTAACGACTATGTAGGAGACCACTTCAATCATAAGTGGGTTGTCCTTGGCGAGCAAACTGAGGAAGAAGGCTCACCGGCACGGACTTGGGTATATGCTCCACGAGTTCTTCGTCAAGGGTTGTAGTAGCACACTGTACTCTTGCTGGCCCACGACGATCCAGGTTCCCGAGCTGCTCAGCCAGGGAGTATGGACAGCCATGATCACTGAACGACCGTGGGTCCATCAGTATCCAGTAGCACCTCTTCGAAGGCAAAGTCCAATATGCAGCCTCCCAGAAAACCGTGGAAGGCGCACCCTCGGCGATGCACTCGCGCTGCTAACCTCCACACTCCGGGTCAATGTATCCGACTGATGCTTGCGCTCACGTTGCATGTCAGCACCACCCGGAGTAGACGAGTCGATAGCAAACCAGTGGTCGCCATGCCAGAAGCCTGCCGCCTTCTCTTCCATGAATCTTATGCATTTGTCCAAAGCCATCCTGGCACGTGGTGTCAACCCATTGTGTGAATGCATCACCAGACGTTGCACGCGCGTCTCGAACATATGTGTTCAGAGTTCGGTCGCCAATAATGCTGGAACGTCACCCAGGATGAATCATTGCTTCAGGGGTTGAATTCCACCCACCTTGTCAGGCGCGGAATCGGGAAAAACCGCGGTCGGGTGTACTGCGTGAGCAGATGAGGGAGCGAATGTCGTCAGAATGCCGTAATGTCGCCAAGGCGACACGCCAGGACCAGGTACCTCCGCAATCTCCGAGGTGGCCACAGTGAGAGCACCTGAATCAATACGAGCCAAAGGAGATTGGCGACACAGAGTACCAGCCCGGTTGCACCGTGAAGGCGTATTCGTCGTAGTAGCTGATGGCGTCGCGACCGATCCCGTGTGAGAAGACACAGACGTGTGACGATGTTTGGTAGCTGGGGGAGCATCGCTCGAACCCTGAGCATCGTCGTCATCCTGAACGTCGACGTCTTCTTCAGGATTGTAAGTCGCATCCCGTTGGAGGTCATCATGCTCGCTGCTCGCGTCGTCTTGAGCGTCACAAACGTCTGCGTCCACAAGGTCCGGCCGAAATTCAGGGCGAATACCTTCAGAATGAGCGTCAGCCAACAGCAATTCTGCGCGAATGTAGTGGCGCTCAGGAACGTACTTGAACCATAGTGACTCGTCGAGACGGTACCAAAATATCATACTTGTGAGCATGCCAGCAAGCGCAGGTGGAGGAAACAAATTGTGAACCATGAAGTCATCGCTGAGCATTGCGATCGCGCCCTGGTAACCGATCCAGCAAATTGACATCAGGGCGTAGTGTGTTGGGTTCGTTGTTCATCATGTCGTGCACATGCGCCTCTGAGAACATCAACTTGTCTGTAGGAGAGCGAGCCCCATCGTTCGTAGGCTTCCAGCCAGTAGGTCGCAAATGAGGAGACTCCCGGACCCTGAGCGCAGATTCACGTTGTCTTTGATTCTTGGAAGGCGTCGTCTTCCGCGAAGGAGACCCACTGGAGGCAGAATCAGGCTGCGTCAAGTCAATGGTGTTGTCACCACTTTGAATGTGGCCGCCCTGGACATCGCCGCCCTGGACACCACTATTGTCTTTGGGCTCACCATCCGAGTAACCTTCGGGTAACGCCGTGAAGGGCACAGTCTGGGCGAAAGGGGCATCCACCGCGGTAACCGCGATCAGAGTGCTCCGACTACTCTCTGGATCGTCACCATCACGAAAACGTTCAAGTAAGCTCTGGGGCCGGCCCCAGTTATTGTTGACGCGGGTCTGATTGCGATTCAGAAAATTCACCAAGCGACGCACGTCGAGACGACGCGTTCCATGACGGTCTCGACTCGTCAGGAGAAGACTATCCACCTGGGAGCGTAATTCAGAAAAT